CCCCCCCCCCCCCCCCGGGAGTGCTGCGAGAGGAGGGCGGCTGCGATCTCGTGCGTGTTGGGGGCCGGCAGCCGCGCCCGTACCCGGCGGAGTTGCCACGGTTGGGAGTTGGGACGGCGCGCCCTACGCTGCGAAGGGATCGCGGCGGCGGCGGCGGCGGATCCCAGGCCAGTCCTGCGTGTCTCGTGGGGCCGCCCGGCGGGGCCGGGGCGCCCCGGCCCGCAAGAGGCCCTCTCACACTGGCCGGACCGCGAAAAGGGGGATGCCCAGGCTCAAAGGCCAGGGGGCGGGGCCGAGTTTCGTGGGGGCCGGGGGCCCGGGGGTGGGGGGACGGGGGGCAACACAACCATCCCGACTCCGGGGGCCGGGCGCCTGCGCGTGCGATCTGGCACGACTGTTCGCCCGATCGCACAGTCACGTGCCCCGTCCCGCGCGCCTGCAATGTAGTCTCCCGGCCGGGCCTCAGGCGATCCAAGCGCCTGTGCGTGTGTCCACGAGTGTGTGTGTGTGTGTGTGTGTGTGTGTGTGCCCTCGAGCGATGGTTGTGCCTACTCGCGCGCGCGTGCGCGGCTCACCGTGGGAGGGGGGATCCCGGGTGGTCGGCGCGCGCACATGCGCACACACGCGCATGGAGGTCTCTCCCCCGGGTCGGGCCGCTGCCAGGCCCGGAGGCGCGAGCACGCGCCGGGGGCAGGGCGTGGGGCACGGAGGTGCCCGGGGGACACGGGGGACACGGGGGGGGGGCCAAATGGGGAGATCTAGGGAGGGTGTATTTTTGTGGCGTCGGGGCACACACACGGAGCGCACGCACGCGCGCGAGGGCATGCGCGGCGGGGATTGGGAGGACCGGCAACAGTGACGAGAGGGGAAGGCCTTCGCCCCCCTGGGGGGGGGGGGGGGGGAGGCGAGGTCCGACACGGGCGCGCCCGGGTGCGGTCACCCTGCCTTCCGCCGCCGCCGCCGCCGCCCCCCTCGCGCTCTGGCCGCCGGGCCGCCCCTCTCAGAGCTCACACTCAAGGACAGGGGACACGTAGGTCGGATAGCCGACGGGCGAGTCGACGGACTGGGAGACGATGTTCCGCAGGGCACCGGTGTGCTGCTGGATGGACATGCGCTCGGAGGAGGTGGTTTGGATGTGGAGGACCTCGTCCATCTGGGCGGCCCAAATGGACCGGGTCAGGCTCCGGTGGAGCTGGAACACGCTGAAGCTCTGCTCGGCCAAGGACGACCGGCACACATTCAGCGACATGACCCGGGACCCGGCGCGGCGGTTGGCCGACATGCGGAAGGTCAGCAGGCAGGGCGGCGTGGTGGACCGAATCCGGCGGAAGAGCTCCGGCCCGGAGTCCGAGTAGATGAGCACCGGGCCGTCGTCGGCCGTCGGGCCGCGGTACTGGCTCTCGCTCGGGGGGAGGTCCTCGTCGGAGAAGTCGGAGAAGTCGTCGCCATGGGCCTCGGCCAGCGCCTGTGCCAGGAGCTCCCCCATGGCCGGGGCCGCCCGGTTGGCCGGGTCGATGGTGCGCATGCCGAGCACTTCGGCCGGGCAACGGTGCCCCGAGCCCGAGGCCCAGGACATGGGCCGCGCCTGGCCGTCATCGGCCCCGGGGCCGCCGGCCGGAGCCGGGCCCGGCGCCTGCCAGGCCAGGTACTTGCCGGCCGGCGCGGAGGCCACCGGCGTCCGGGCAACGCCCGACCCGGGCCCGGGCGGGGCCGGGCCCGGGCCCGCAGCGGGAGCAGCCGGCGCCGCCACCAGCAGCATGTTGACCGAGATCGTGGACGAGGGCTCGATGATGTGGTCGAATTTTTGCATGCCGCCGGAAGGCCCGCCGCCGGCGCCGGTGCCATCGCCACCGCCGGCCGCCGGCCCGGCGGCAGGGGCCCCCTTGTCATTGAGCAGCCCGGCCGACTGGAGCACGCCCCGGGGCCGGCGAATGGACACCCCATACAGGGGCAGCGTGCGCACCGCGGACAGGCTCGACGGGGCCGGCGACTCCCCGGCACCCAGATGCCGGCTGATGAGCTGGCGCATGTCGCGGAATTGCTGCGACGCGTCCGCCCGGTCGAACTTCCCGCCATTCCAGTAGCCCGACAGCCGGGTGGCCTGGCAGGCGGGCCCGCGCCGGGCCGGTCGCCCGGTCGCCCGCGCCACATGCTCCAGGCCGCCCTGGCACGACCGGCACCCGGCAACATGGGCATCCACCGCGCACCCGGGCCCGGCGAAGTCGGCCTGCCCGTCATCGCTCGGCTCATTGAAAGTCGGGCAGAGGATGAAGTGGTTGAGGTACTGCTGGAGGCTGTACTGCACGGCCAGCAGGACCAAATTGTGCGCGCTCTGGCTGGAGTCCGAGGCGCCGGGCGCCGCGAAGTCCACCAGCCACAGCAGCTCCCGCGGGAAGCGCAGCGAGAACTCCGAATTCAGCCGCAGCCCATGGCGGAACACATAGAAGAGCCCCATGCAGGAGGTGGTGTCCGGGGCATTGGTCTCATTCTTGGCCAGCAGCGACACCTGCGGGAAGATGTTGCGATCGGTGCGGTAGTTCTTGAAGATGTTGTAGAAGTAGCTGGAGAAGGAGGCCGAGTGCAGGGCAAACCGGCAGGCCAGATACAGCAGGTGCGCCACCCGGCCCAGGTCGAAGGCCGTGATGTCGTCCAGGCCGTCGCCGGGCCCGGCCTCGGCGCATGCCTGTGCCGAGCGCTCCAGGCACTCGGCGATGAAGGGACCATGCACGGCCAGGAACCGGACCAGGGGGACCGGCTGCTCGCGCAGGTGGCGATTGCGCGCCTCGCGGCACGAGGCGCAGGGGCCGCCGCCGCCGCCGCCGCCGCCGGTGGCCGCCGCAGCACCGTCAGCCTCCGGCTGCTGGACCAGCAGCTCGGCCGGGATGGTGGCCTTGCGCTTGCGCGCGGTCCGGTACTCCACATCCACCGACTCCATGAAGCCACTGAGGAAGGGCGAGGGCAGCCGGTGGAACACCTCGCGAGCGTAGTGCGCCGAGAAGGGCGCCGCCGGGGGCAGCCCAGCGCGCGAGGCGAAGCGCGTCTTGGCCGGGGGCTGGGCCGCCGGGCTGGCGGCCGCCGTGGCCGCGGCCACCGAATCGCCCGCCGAATCGCCGGCCTTGCTGCTCGAGGAGCCGATGGAGCCGGCCCGGCTGCGTGGCGGGCTGCCGTTGCTGCTGCTGCCGCCGGCCGGCCGGGCCGGCGCCAGCAGATCCGCCTCACTGAGGCCGCCATCGGCCGCACCGGCAGGCGAAGCCCCGGCCTCCTCGGGCAGGTCGTGCGGCAGGTGCTCATCATGGTCCTCGTCATCGCGATCGGCCTCGATGTCCGACAGGTCGCCGGCGAGTGGGCCGGCCGCCGGGGCGTCCTCCGGCAGCTCGGAGTCCGACACATCGACCGGGGTGTTGAGCAGGTCCCGGGGGGGGGCGGCGGCCGGCGCCTGGCGGGCCGGGCCCAGCAGCTCCGCCGGGCCGGGAATGCCACTGGCCGGGCTGACCGCCTCGGGCATGGTGGCCACCGTGGTGGCACGGCCCGAGGGGGCCTTCCGCCGGTGTGCCTTCCCCCGCCGCTGGGCCGCATGCATGCACATGCACTTGGCCCCGGGCGTCGGGGCCCGGGAGGCCTCGATGCATGCCCGGAGCAGCGGCCGGAAGAAGGGGGTCGCCAGGAGGTAGATGATGCTCATGGCGATGTACCGGTGGAGGACCTGCTTGCTGTCGTAGGAAGTCAGCAAGCCGCTGCTGGGCATGCTGCTGATCGAGTAGATGGGGATGCTGACCGTGTCCACCGACAGGGGGGTCCAGCTCTTGGACAAAACCGAGATGTTGTCCCGCTCGGCCAGCTGGAAGCTCCCGTCCCCATCGCGCAGCACATACAGCCGCAGCCCCGGCAGGTAGGTGTACCGCGACCGGTTGTCGACATTGATGGTGGGCGAGGCCGAGGCGATGGACGAGTCGAGCGACGAAATTTCGGACGAGTGGCACACCGTGCCCACGGTCTCCAGGCCGCGGATTTGGAAGGAGATGTGCCGGTCGGAGATGTGGATGATGTGCACCAGGAAGGAGTACTGCTCCATCGGGGGCGGG